TCTGTGTGTGTGTGTGTGTGTGTGTGTGTGTGTGTGTGAGAGAGAGAGAGAGAGTTCTACAGTAAGACCTACACATTTGGATCTGTCTTGACCTCTTCCCATCTCTGTCCAGTGTTCAGGAGACAGATGTCTCATCGATCAATGCCAGCCTTAGGGCCCACAATAATCTCCTACTGTGTCCTTGTACACAAGCACACACACACAGACTGCCATTTACACACACAGGCTAACACACATACACACATACACGCACACAAACACACACAACAGTCTGTACAATTGATGGATCCGTTCAGGGGTTGAAGGCCAGATCAAACAGCAGAAGAAAGGCTCTCCACTCCAAAACACAAAAGATGAAGGGTTGACAAGAAGGTGGACAAGGTTCATCTTTTCTTTAAAGCCCCATCAACTCTCAGCCCACCACACAGACACACACACACACACACACACAACACTCATTGCTGTCGCACTCGTATAAAATCACTAACTGCAGCTTGGCCTTAGAACTCTTGAATGGGCTCGTTCAAACACCCGTTTTTGTACAATTGTTTGGCTTTCTAAATGAATAATAACGCATTAATTTGTGACAAACATACAAATACTCTCAAACACACTTGTGTGGGATAATTTGATTTGTCTCCTTTTTTGCCTAAAAAGACTAAATATTGCATTAGACAAAAATAGTGAGCAATTAAGTGAGAAAATTTGTTGGGAATAGTTGTGTATGTGTAAAGATGTACTGAATATCCTTTTTGCAGATGGCCACACAATATGTGCACATACATACATTAGAAAAACAAAACAAAACAAAACAAACAGCAAACAAAAAAACTCCCAACACCCACGTTTCTGCAAAAACGGCATCTAAAATACAAAATCCCATCAAAACGCTTCATGACCATAAATATCTAAATTATGCATGATTATTTTTTTCATCTTGCATCATTAATGACAAACAAACAAATAAATTCTCCACTTCCCTTTTAAAAGGTTGCTGCCTACATATGAATTTGCCCTGTGTGCATGTATTTCCATAAAACTCATGCATTGTGCATGCTGATACGCACGCGCATAAAAAAAGAGAAAATAAAAATCACAGAATGGTCTGTTAAATTATACATTTTATTGCTGAGTGGCTGTGTATGTGTGTGTGTTTGAGCAGTGTTTGTAAATAAATTATAGGGTCATACCTGTGCACCACTATACCAAGCAACTGGTCAGGCAAACAAAAGCGAAGCCTTTCGCTAAGAACAAACAAGCGCGAAACACACCACAAAGCAATCGTGCACGTGGCCGTTTCTCGGTCCGATAATTCTCCACAATTTTCTCCGGTRCCCTGATTCTTTTTTTGACATTGTGTGGCAGTGGCAGGGGGCACTGATGTGAAAATCTTAAAAGGATTAGGYGGGTTGGTGTTGCCAGCCAATTGGTGCTTGTCAATCTTGGAGGCCCCTGCGTGTACCCCACCTCCCCACACACCACCACCTCTCTTATACTTGGTCCAGGCCCCTCTTTTCTCCTGATCGGTGACACTTAATGTTTGAAGCCTTAATGGAAGCTTTTGGCCGTGTCTTCTCGGTGTGACAGAGTGACAGGTGGCAGATCGAGACGTGAGGACAGAGGGAAGTCAGCAAGGAACGAGTGGCCTGAGACTGAGACAGGAAGGCGATTGAGCCGTGTTGGCAGGGATTAGCAAACAAATAAGAGTGGAGTGACAAGAATGTGGAAACGCACAGCWGAGCCATATGAATGCATTTGGCTACTGTCATACCACCGTCACATAACATCGTGCCCTGGTCTTTTGTTCATTACACCTTTTAAAGTTGGATGCTTTGTTTGTCTCAAAGCTTTCATCATTGCCCATTACACAGCTTAATGTGAGTTCCCATAAAAGTTCAAATTGAAGTAAGACTTCCATGTGAGTTAAGTTTAAGCAGAACGACACCATCGGCTGAGAAATTTGGTAATAAATTGCAGCAGTAAGTTGCGATGCACACGTTGCATGAGGTTGGGGTTAGAACCTAGTTAAGCAGTTGGAGTTTTATGAGCAACGGCTGGGCATTTTTCCAAAAGTATTCAATGTCTTGGCCGTTTTTTTTTAAATGGAACAAAACTATAAAGCAGAAAACAGAGACATGTCTTAAAMAATGATTATCTTATAAATGATGAGTGTCAGATCATTCTTCAGCTCTTCAGTTTGGTCATTTCTCAACAGCAGTGGCAAGTAGCCCAGCATCAGACAAAAAATAAAACCAGCCCTTGTTCATTACAGCACACACACATTTCTCAACAATAAATAAACACACACACAGATGAAGCAATTCACACATATCAACCGCACAATTAATAAACCATAACGGCTTCTCTCCTACTCATCACTGCCTTTCAATGACAGATTAGTGCAATTATTTTTTTTTTCTGAAGTAGACCACAGATCCAAGTGTTGCCAAGTCACTCACCTGGTCTCCCGTGAGGTGACAAGCGACAAGGTTCTGCTCCTCAAACGACGGGGCCGAGCGGACGTATTTGAGCCAGTTGTTGCTGTTGGCATCAGGGCCTGTGTCCAGTGCAAACTTCACGCTCCCCATTTCATCCACCACCTGTTGGAAACCAATAAGTTTAGATATTTAAAAACAACAACAACGAAGTCTAAAAGTGTGTTGACACTGCACTCAGTAATAATGTTAATTTGAATCTTTATTTTTTCTGCAGGAATACAACCCTGAGCCAACGTGTTGGAGGGTGTTAGGGCCACCTAACCTTGTCAATCCTGACGACAAGAAAAGGAAAAGAGGAAAAAAGGAGGAGGGGGTATACAAACTGTGGCTTCTTTCACTTGTCTAATGACTTTCTCTGGCATGTATTGATCACCCCTTTGTAACCCCTGCAGCCCCCGGAGACTCCAAGAACGGGTTTCATGTTACCCGCTTTCACAGAGAATGAAGGAGGATGGAGGCAGTCGTGAAGAAGGAAAAGGAGGAGCAGAGGAATAGATGAGGGGCTTATTGTGAAGCAAAAAGTGAGGAGGAAACCAGAAAGAAGAAATGAATCCTTGTGTTTGTTGAAGAGATGAGACATTGTTTTCAACAAAAAAATTYATACTGAATGATAGAAAGGGTATGTTTTTAGAGAACATGCTCATGATGCAGAGGGTGACAAAAGGCAGAAACCTCTAAGTTTGCGTGGGATGGAGATGGTGGGGAGTCTAGGGTCAGCTGAAACCCCCAAGCTCGCTCCCGCCAACCGGGTTGAGTTCTGATTTTGCTCCTGTGTTGCACATGATACAGAGGGCCAGCTTGAATCCTCCTGGGAGAACTGGCCGRGGACAGAGCAACTCCTCTAATTACAAGAACCAATCAACCCGACCTGTATTCAGATCTGACCTCCTGCCTGACTCTCTGCACCCTTAATTAAAGTCAAAAGTCTTCTGAAGAAAACTGAGGTGTGATGGAGAAGGACCAACGTGCAATCTGACAGTTTTGTATGTGCAAAGTTTGTGAACTTCTCTAACTAGCTCCTCCTTTCCTAAAGATATGTTCAYGTGAACATATGTGGGGATTTTGCTATTTCTTGTAAAGTATGAATGGTCATATTCTATCTGAGCCTGTACAGAAGGTACATTTTTATGGGTGTGGACACAGGTGCCAAGTTTAGTGAGTGAATACGTTAAGGATCTGGATCTAGGTGTGGAAGTGTGACTTGTACGAGAGCRGCAACAGTTTTGGATGAATGCATACATTCAAGATTGAAGTAGCAACAATGTTCCACCGCTTTTGGACCAAAGTGTGAGTTTAGCCTCATCGCTTAACACAACAATGCTTATTGGGGCTTCAACCCATGAGAAAAAAAAAAAAAGAAAGTCTTGTTCCACAAACTTGAAGAAATTAAAAAAACACCTTCTGCTAATCGGAATGCTGAGTGTGAATGCACAAAAAGCATATAGTTACGCAAACCCATTTCTGTTTTGTATTTCTCACAACCCTCACAGAAGCAAACATATCGATAACGTTCACCAGCCTCACACAGCCATCTACTGTCTGTTCTGCTTCCAGTTTACAACTTTTAAAAACTCGGCTTGATCGAGTCCAGGCCTTAACTTTATGTGTGCAGTCACTGAAAACTAACCAGGCAGACCCTCTCAGCACAGACTTGCTCACCTAGCCCTCAGCCTAATATCCTCTCTGCAGCTGGTGGAGTCAGAGTGCACTTGTCATGGGGCTTGTGCGGAGCTGCAGTGGGTATTATACATGTTTTATTAACATATGTAAAGCTAAGCTCCAGATGGAAACAATGTGTAGTTATTTTTTTCTTTTTTTTTTGTCAATACAACAAGCTATTTTAAACACTGTCATGCCTGCAAACTTCATTTTGCTTCCCCCACATTCACCCCCTCCTCTAATGCACATACAATGGTCTGATCGTGGACCTAATGAGCAGCAGACTAGTGTGCGTTGTGCAATTTTTTTTGGGAAGAACATATGTGTTTGTGTGTTATCTGGGAGGCTGGCTAACACCTTGTCTTGGGGTGGAAGCCTGATTTATAAGGCTTTAAATGAGGGGCAACAGAGAGGGAGAGCCAGAACAAGCTCGCAGCTGATTGTTTGTTTATTTACCTTACCTTTTGTTTTCATCCAGTCCACCACCCTCCATCTACACATGTCACACGGAGGAGGGGGGGGGGGGGGGTGGATTGGGCTGGTTTTCATTAGCTCCACGTGTGAAGGAGTTTYGGCAAAACAGAAGTAAACTTAGCTACTCAATGTTTTCTGCCTAAAGTTCCCACAGTTAAATCCTGTGAACGTTTTTTCCTCCAACTGTTCAACTGAAACATTTTTCATGATTTTTAGTTTGTTGTTTTTCGGCTGCTCCTGTCTTCAGGAGTTGCCACAGTGAGTAATATTTGCAGATACGGCAATGGTTTTACACCAGATGTTCTCACTTACACAACTGGGCTCAAATGCAGCCTCAGGATTACGGGACACCCCCTCCCCCCCCCAAGCCCCTATGATTTCCATCCATTGGGTTCAATTTTACCATTCTAAATTTGCCCATTGGATCAAAAAACAAAATGCATTTATTTGAGCTAGTTTCTCTAAAATATTTCCCACCTCTCATTTTTATGCATGTCTGCTAAATGAAAAAGGAAAATGGAAGTGCAAGACACAATACAGATAATTTAAAGTTTTATTCTAACCATTTGTATTAGGAGGAAAGAAAGACATAGATAAACTTTTTACCTGAAGTATACTTATTATAGTTATTTATCATTATTTAAAGATTGATTTCTTGCTTTAACAGTGACCAAACAAACTTGCTTGTTGCAGCATGTAATAAAGAAACATTGGTAAACTTTCAGAGCATTCTTTGTGTTACTCAAATGAAAGTGGTTTTAGCTTTGTTTCTTCTTTTGATCAATAGATTCTGATTAACATCCAAGTCTTGGAGCGGAAAGTTTGTTTGCTTCACAGTCTCAAAAGCAAAATTTGTTCGATTAGGTGTGCTTTGATTTATCGGCCCTAATTTCCTTAAGAGATTGGCTGATCCTTAGATAAGACCAGTGGAAAAGTTTGGCTTCTTCACCTCCACAAAGGTCTGAAAATCCTCTTTTGTTCTGCTGTGAGCACTACCTAAAGTCCAGTTAAAACAAGTTTGTATTGTTTCAAGGGTATTGTTCAACGTATTTCAATAAAATAAGATTTGAACACTGAAGTTGCTTTGTGACCTAACATCTGATAGTGTCAGCTGTTTAAAAAAATCAGTATCGGCCAAAATCGGAATCGGCAGGTCAGACCTTTTAAAAATTGATGATCGGACAGAAAACTGGAATCAGTGCACCCCTAGTTTGACACTCAAAAATGACAAAATCTAAAGAAAAAGTTCTATTAACTGATAAAAAACGAGGCATTGAGGCCAAGAAAGAAAAAGAATCAAGCCTATATATTTTTAAATCTTTCAACCTCCATGTTACTGATTTACTGCCCCACAAACACATTGGAAAAGAAAGAAATTTTCTATTTCAGAGCTTCATCTATAGTTTGACTTGATTAAACACTATCAAAAAATGACTCACTTGACATTACACACACTGAGACATGCAGCCAACACACACACACCTGCACACAGACACAATGAGATTTTACTGAAAGAGGAGCGGCTCTAAGTGGACAGGATGCAGAGCAAACTCCACAGGAAGCCCTGATAAGAGCACGACACTTATATCGCCCCTCACAACACAAAGGGGAACCTTTGACAGCTAGGAACCTTTAATGGCTGTCTCGGCATGCCCTCTCCTCCGCCAGTTATATCTGACGGATGTCTGTGGAGCGCCGGTCTGAATTAGTAGGGGAAAGTTGCTTGTACGGGTAGACATTGGTGACAAGGTACATATTATTTTCTCTTTGACGGAGGGCAGAAAATGGAAATGGCAGCTCAGAGCGTGGTGGTGATTGTGATTTTGATGTGAGATGAAGATAGAAGCCGACTTATAGCATGTGAGACATGACTGCTCGGTTATTGTGTGTCTCTGAGGGAATATTTTTATAAGGTGTGATCATGGCGCTTTGTTGAACGGCCTCGCTTTCCAACGTGTGAACACACCCTAGTTTGCATTTATTTGTATACGTATGGGGCAAAGAGCAAAACAGGCTGAGTCGTTTTGAAATGAAACAACAAGGAGAACCACAGTGGAACGACGCTCATTTCAGAAGAAGCTATATGAAAGATCTTTTAAGCTTTGAAAAACAACGAAGAAGGAAAGGTTACTCTCCACTCCTCTATTTATCCCAGGAAAGTTTTAGATGAATCAAACACATAAGACAACAAGAAAAAAAACGAAAAGAATAACACTGTTTTTTAAATTTGAATCTACATCTGGCCAAGCACATTCTGTGCATGACATTTCACACACAGAGACAGAAAAGATAATAAAACATGAGGCATCAATGCACTTCCCCCGAAATGAGGCAGGGGGCAGCCTGGCATGAAAGCTCCACAAGCTGGGGAGCAGAAGTGGAAATGAAAGTTCACTCGCTATCTACAGCTGTAAACATATACTCTAAACATACATAAGTTTGGGATGACTGAATATTAATTTAAAAAAAGGATGACAGAGAAATACCTGCGCTCACACACACACTCTCTGTTTGCCGTGACAAATAAGACGGTCAYAGAAGCACAGCAGCGACAGTGACAGATTGAGGGGCTGTGAAGTGGGCTGCAGAGTTGGTTGTTAGAAGTGTTACAAATTAAGACGCGACCAAAAGGAGAAAAAAAAGAGGTTTGTGTTGGAGTGTGTATCCCTTTTCTGGAAACAAGTCTGTTTCCAGTTGGGAGGCCTCTTCACATGCAACACACACACACATACACACGAACAGGCAGACTAATAAAGCAGCTGATAGAGTACAGATCACGAAAGCCTCCATGTGCTCATTCATGTGTGTGTGCGTGTTCATGTGTGTGTTGGATGGGGCCCTGCAGAGAAGACCCTAGCCCCACCATATCACTCAACAGCCTAAATGAGTGTGTCTGCTCTTGTGTGTGTGTGTGTGTGTGGAGGTGAGAGGTGGACAGGCTCACAAGGAGTTCTCCCATTAAACTTTGTCTGAGAGCAGGAAGGGAAAAGGACGAATAAATGAGATTATTCAGATTTCATTAACTTCAGCCAACTTTAGATCTAAATCCCAAAGATGTGGGAAAGATGTGAAACACAGCAGTATGAAAATGGAATTAAATTTCTGAGCATAAACTGATGAAAATACGTTAAAGGTACATTTTTAGTACATTTTTGTTACATCCATTTTTATGCTGCTCCTGTTTTAAACAGACKGTTTGTCCCTATATTTAATTTAATTTTATAAGGTGAGAAACAAACCTTAAGTTGACATAAAACGTTGAACATCTTTGTGTTCTTCATCACAGTCAGCGTCTCAGCAAATGCTGTTTGAATGCACAAAAAAAACAAAGAGCCAACTCTAACGTTTTCACTAGTTTTTATCAACTTAATGTGAAATTTGTGAAAATGTGTTGTGCCCAAAAAAATATAATTGGTTGTGTTTCATCAGGAGGAGCCATTGCTGTGACAATAGATTAAGCCTAAAGTGGATGAGAGTATGTGTGTGTGTGTGTGTTCACTGCAACATGTGTGTAAAGCCTATTACTGATGCTGGTAACAGTACACCTGTGCTGCCATGTATGGCRGCCTAATGACAGCTAAAAAGGAAACAGGCTGTAAATCCACAAACACACACATGTCGACAACACACACAGCCACATTTTACAGAGGTAACAACTCTTAYGTAGATAGACTCAAGACACAAGTGAATACAACTCTGAAAAGTGTTTTTGTCTTTCTACCAGTAACACCAGTAAAATGTATGTATGCAAGGTGTTGGAGAGTACATTGACAGAGTGTAAATGCATGTGCTGTGTGTGTGTGAAGGTGAGTGAAGGCGTGTTAAACGTGACCCATTTTATCTGGCCGGGGCAGCCATCGACATAATTAAAAACCAGGCAGGCAGGCGGGTGGGCAGGCCGGGGAGGGCCTGGGGCCTTGTAAAAGCCATCTGGGTTATAGTGTTCGTGCGAATGCACTTGCACATGTGTGCCTGCGTGCGTTGTGAGTGTCAGAATGTGGCCCCGCTCACTAATGACCCAACTTCTCTAACTTCTATTAAATCACCGTCACACAGCTATCATTTGCGGTGGCTGTGCATGTGGCATACTGAAAACATGTATGTGAAGTGTTCCAGTGTCC